CCATCGTTTTTTAGTTTTATTATTATTATTTTTTTAATGTTTCTTTCTTTTCTATTTATGGGCTTCTAAAATTGGGCTGGACTGGGCTGGGCATTTTGTTTTGTTTTTTGTTTTTTTTATTATTATTTTTTTTGCAAAAGTGGGCTAAACATTTTCTTAGTTTTAAAATTCGGAGACTTAAATTGATGTGTCAAACATGTGTCCATAGTGTATCTAGACGAATTCGTATTTGACATGAACACTTCATATCCGTACTAAATAACTAAAGATTTACCGTAATAAAATAAGAATAATAGAACTTTTCATCACTTAATTAAGAAAATCCACAATTGCATCTCCGTCATACCATTTCTCATATTGTATAGTTCATATGACACGTTGGTGGTATGTATGGTTCAAATAACATATTGGTGCTAACACACGATCCAAGTCCCAATAAAAGAAAATCAATTGATAAATACAAATAATCAAAGTTTAAAATAATGTTTTCCTTCGACGTGTATAAACAACGCATAAACTATACTTTTGGTCCATAAGATTTAGAGTGTCTATTTGGTCTATGAAATTTCAAAAAATGAACACGTTTGTTCTCTAAAGTTTTTTTTAATACAACATGTGGGGTGGAGGATCGAACTCCCAACCACTTGGTTAGAGATATATGTCAAGTATCATTGAACTATGCTCGCTTCAGCTAGTTTTTAAAGTTTTGAGTATGTGTCAATGTGATTCTTGAAATTTAATAATCTATGAGCTACATGACATTAGTACAACTTAGCGATAATTGACATTTTCTCATTTCATTGAGGTTGAAAATTGAACTCACAACCTTTTCTTTTTGTTCAATACTACATATAGATAAACAAAACTTAGAAAAATCAGAGTCTACAAGTCTCGATAACCAAAGAGGGAGATTTGACGACCACTCCATCTCTAACCCCTCTTCCATCGCAAAACGAACAATATCATGAGCTAAAGAATTTGAGTTTCTCTTGACATGTTGAATCGATCCAAGTCGCTTTCCGCTTCACAATTCTTGAAATCCTTCGGAAGCCAAGTAATTTATGTGAAAACATCCATATGGCCTAGGAGAAGTTGAACATCCTCCGTGGAATCCAACTCTAGATTAATCAGTTCAGTGTCCTCATTGGCCATTGTTTCTAGGCCATCACGAATTGTCATCACGAATTGTCATCAGCTCCAAGTAAGTAACTCTTCACTCTCTAGAGATTGGTTTGCACCCCGACCTAACCATTTTCCCTCTTTCATTTCGATAGATCCACCCGAGTTCATAACCCCTTGATTGGAGATACATACTAATTAACACTGAACTATACTCGCTTTAGTCATTAAGGTCGGAAGTTCCAACCTTTGCCCAAGGCCCCAATTTGTTTATATATATATATATATATATATATATATATATAAAGCATCTACAATGCCAAATAAGCCCTAAGGCCTCTGTCCGGTCCGGTTCCCACGAGGGCTCAGCTTCACAGTCCATTCTCAGTCTCAACTCTGCGCCAACGGTGTTGGATAACCTACACAAAAATGGAGGATTTGAAGAAGAGGAAGCTGGAGGAGACCGTCGCCAACTGCGAATTCTCGTCGGTGGAACATCTGCGCTCTCTACTGGAACCGCTTCCCAAGCCACAACTCGTCGATCTCCTCGCCAGACTGTGCGTCTCCTTCTACCTTTTTCTTGATTAAAACGAGACTTCCATTTGCAGTTTCCTCCTCTTCTTCTTCTTTCTTTTCAAGAATGCTCGTACCGTTTTACTTTCTTAGTTCTTCTTCTATTTCTCCACTGCTTGTGTCCTTCTGTTTCATGGGCAAACGCTATTTGATGAGATATGGGGTTAAGGACACTCCTATCATCCAAGTTTAACTCATTTATGTGGATGCCAATGCTGCGGATGTTCTGTTCTGAATCTAATTGGTGCCTAGATGTATGAGGCATTCCCACTGTAAAAGCACCAGTAAACAGCTTGCCCATTTATAATTTCAAAACTAGTAGACACCTTCCCAAGCTTTGAAACTGTCATATCGTAGATGCTAGGGGTTTAACCTTTTCTGAAGCTGTTATTGTGATCGATAAAGAATTCAATGTTTTTGTTCAGGAGTTTGTTATATTTCAGAAATATTAGAACTTGCAGCTCCCAATGATTGAGTTGTGATTGAAGTTTAGTCTCAATACATTGATGGGATTGAAAAAGGCTTTCTTCTAAGCATTTTTTCCGCACCTTGCATTTTGCTGATGGCCCACTCTTACTATCTCCAAAGCCAACTCTAAGAGAGCACAAGTTTTATTAAGTTTTCTATCTGTAGCTTGAGCCTAGGACTTTAGAGGGCATCTCTGAACATTCCAAATCTTTACAACTAGGGCGATCCAAATGGGTGTTTTGTTCTAAGCGTTAGCATGGAAGTTGGCCTGCTAACAAAATTATTAGCGAAGCAAGCTTTAATTCTTAAAGCCACATTTCCCAGCCTCTAAGAAATATTTTATTTATTCCTCATGAACATGCACAATATTGATATATTACAATTTCATCTAGCATGTTTGGATGATTTGCTTTGTTTTGTCAAACAGTGTGTCACATCTTAGATTTCTCATATCAACACCGTTCAAAATGTTATCATAAAGGTATTTCAAACCAAATTCAGATTTGTCTTAGGATACTTATCTAAGACACTATTTTAGAAGGAAGATAAACTTATATAAGTTCAATACTCATAAAAAAATTCAAATTCAAAGCTATTTGTTTGAGAAAATTCTTATATTTATAGTTCTCAAAATTAAAGGTTTCTTTTGAAAGTAAATTCCATTACTAAAACCATAGTAAGGACACATTTTTGTGGGTATACACAGCGGAAATCACAAGGGTGTTGCTCCAATTGTATCCTGTGTGATTGACATGGTGAATGTGTGTTTATTTTCATTGCATGTTGAGGCATAAAGAGGGTCCCAGTATCCTTCCATTGCAGAAGAAATAAAAAGTGTTGCCAGTGCAGATCCTGTCAATCGAAAGCTTTTTGTTCGTGGCTTGGCCTGGAATACCAGTTCAGAAACATTGTGTGCTGTGAGTGCAATTGGTTGTTGCTTGTGTTTTGCCTGTCATGTTTGGGAATGTTCTCTAGACTCTATCTGTGCCTAGACCTGGAACATTAAATCTTTGAATCACTTGTTTAATCAATTTTTTTTCCTTGGCTTCTATCTACAATGAACAGTGTTCTCTCTCTCTCTCTCTCTCTCTCTCTCTTTTCCTTAATAAAGTTGTGACAATTATATTGATGTTCAGGCATTTAGCGTGCATGGTGAAATTGAAGAAGGAGCTGTTATCTATGACAAAGCAACAGGAAAGTCCCGTGGATATGGTTTCATTACTTACAAGCACATGGAGTCAACTAAAGCTGCTTTAAAAGCTCCTAGCAAAATTATTGAGGCAAGCACTTACCCCTTGCAAATGTTGTGGAAATATTTTCTGTTTGATCTGGTTACTTTTTGAAGGAGTTAAATGTGCGTGAGACTAGTTGGGATGGGATGAAGCAATTTGTATATCTTTTATTAGGAATAAAATGAATAATGCGATCTCTTCTTTTTTAGAGTTTAGACATTTTTGTATTATGTTTTGTGAACAAGCACTCCTTTTCTCGATCATTTCTTTGTTCATAGGATGTTAGCTTCTGGCTTAGGGTTAATGGAGAAGTATTCTTTTTGCTTTTTGGATCGTAATATGTGATCAACATAACTTTTATAAAGATTTAAACTTAACTAACTCTTATACATGACATGTAATTCATAACTTGAACAAGATCTATGCTATGCCTTTAAAGGAGATTATTAAGGGTAGTTGATAGATGGGCTATCCACCTGCAAGCATACAGACTTTCAATTAACACAATCACCTCTTCATTCCACCTCATCATAGCCGGTGGTGGTTTTATAAGATATTTAAGATTCCAAGAGAACTGAATATTTTTTATTTGATTAATCCTTCTTAATTCTAGGGTCGCATGGCTGTCTGCAATCTGGCTTGCGAGGGTCTAACCGGATCAAGTACAACGCCAGATTTAGCACAGAGGAAGCTCTACATTGGAGGTTTATCACCAGATATTTCAAGTGAAGTGTTGCTGAATTTCTTCGGAAGGTATGGTGATATAGAAGAAGGTTCGGTTGCTTATGATAAGGATACAAATGAATCACGGTTAGTAACATTCTCCTCCCATTTCATTGGGACTTTTTGCTGTTGATGTCTATAACTTGTTGGAGATCCACAAATGCTGCACCTATGTAATAATTTGCACAGTTTGTTTCTGTAGAGGGTTTGGATTTGTTACCTATACGACAGTAGAGGCTGCAAAGAAGGCAATAGATGATCCAGACAAGACCTTTGGGGTGAGCTAGTAATGAGCTTTATGATTAACTTTGTGAAATAGATAGTTTGTTGAATTTTACTAATAACTCTTCAGAATGGAAGATTCCAGTTATTTGAATGCTTAGAAATGCTCTAATTATTTGTTAAGTCATAATATAAGGAAAATGGCCATAATTAAAACTTAGAATTATATGATTTTGAACTGGTAGAAAAATATTTGGTTTAGTTTAACTCATCTGCCGAGGATGTATGAAGTCTTAAAGGAGTTCTAATTAAGCATAAGCAATCATTTAGATTAAATGTGGAATTATTAGAATCAATTTTATTTTTATTTTTGAAAGGGGAAGGGGGTAAACTGAAAATAATATTCTAGAGGGGGAACAAACAAAAGCGGATTGTGTAGAAATGAAGAATGTTCACAATCAAGTTCAAGAGCCAAACTAGAAATGTTCTTGTCCATATGTCAAAATATTGCAAATAACTTGTAACCTTCAATGAAAAGGATAATATATTACTGATGTATTATGTATACAAATATGTAAAGTTCTTTAGAGTTCACTTTTCCTTTGTTTCATATCATACTATTAAAGCTGTTCAGCAAATCCTTTGTAGTGCAACTTGGGCGACAGTTGACTCATTCTTCTAGTTAAATTTAACAACATAATAAGAAACGTGTATGGCAATTGAGTATCGAATTTTTAAGATTCTAAATAAGCCTCTTTATTTTGCATATTGAAAAGAATTGAAAAACTTTCCTCTCTTTACTTAAGATATGGAGTAAAATTTGTCCGTTTAGAATCTTTGACATTCTCTGTAAGTCTGTTTCCATATGTAAGCATTTCTATGATGTTTTGACTCTTTGTAGGGAAGGAACATCATTGTGAAGCTTGCCGATTCCCACAGGAGCAAGATGGTGCAGGCTCAAGTATCCCCAGCCATTCCTTCCATGCCATATCCAGTAGCAGCGGGATATCCTCAACCCGGAAAATCACACGGCATTGTTGCCCCTGTTGGCTATACTTATCCCCAAGCTCCTGCATATCCTGCTTCGTATCCTAGTCCTACGGCTGCACACGCTTCGTATGCGGGCCAACCCCAAATGCCATACCCTCATCAAGCGATTGGAGTGAAAGAGGCTCCCGGACTTCACCCGACTGCACCTGCTGGAATGGGCGGGTATCCATATTACATGGCGAAATAATAACCTCAATGTGATTTATAAGAGGTGAATTTCAAAACTTTATATTTACCTTTACACTTCAGATTTAGCATCCATGCAAATAATATATCTACATTCTTTAATTGAAATTACATACCAATTTTTTTTACAACGCTGTAGGGGTGAGAATTTCTTACTTTTAAGACTGGTATGTAATGTCTTAACTAGTTGAACTAGGCCGACAAAATTATATATACTTACACTTTATAGTTCAACGAAAGTTTGGTTTCTTATCTTAAAAAAATAATAATAAATCTTACACTTTACAGAACTGTACCTTCTATTCTAGGCTTAACTTTTTCATCTAATTGAAGTAATACTTACACTTGGATAGGATGTTGGGGTAACTTCTGCAATTTTGATGTGCCGCATCTGCATTTTCGTTGGTTGAAATAAGAAAGTTTAGTTTAGAGAGAAAAATGTGTAAATTAAGCTAAATATATGTTTTAATCCCTAACGTTATAGTGTTTTTCATTCTAGTCTCTATTGTTGAAAAAGTTTAAATTTAGTTCATTCTGTTTTAACATTTTTCAATTATACCCTCACTGTTGTGAATGTTAAAATTGGTTGATGATGAACTTACACTCGGGACAAATTTAGATGAGAAATTAGCCTCGAACTTACACTGGGGACTATATTGAAAACACTCCGGACTAAAACCTATATTTGGCCATAGAATTAAAAAGGGTAAAATATTTATGATTTCAAAAGGATAATGTAAGACTAATCACAAGACTTCAAGTATGGGGTAACTTTTGCAATCTACTTTTGTTTCTTCTTATTTCTTTACCCCCTTCACGTAATAACGGTATTACCTGCATTATTTTCATTCTCATTCAGTTGTTCGTGGTACCTGCTCGGTTTTTTTGTAGGAACCTAGAGCTTGACTATGCACCTCTACACATTGGTTGCTGAGAATAGGCAAATCTTATTGATTGAAATGGTAATTTGGACATTGAAGGTGCCCAGGTGAGCTTGTGGATTTAAGTAGAACTCTATATTTTTATACCTTGTCTGTGCAATATTAATGCTACCTAGGAATAATGATAATGCATAACTTAGCCTATTTTTAGGATTAGAGTTATTCAATTCTGAGCATGGAAAATATTGGTGTTAGCTACTCTAACTAATGAACAGGTGACAATATTCTTGATATTTCTCTTCGATCGATCATGATTTTTGAATTGTATTCCTATTTTAAATTGAACTTCAAAGTTGGAATTTAGAAAATGGGTCTCGTAGATCATATTTGTAGAGTTGTATAGAATAATTGTTGTGCCATTAACAATTTTCTTGTTTAAGGAAATACTTGCTATTTCTTTGTTTGGTAGTGACAAATTTCTGTCTGGGTTAAATTTTAGCCAACATTGAGGTTGAATTGACATCAAATTAATGGATGACATATAGGAATGCATAGGCCTCAAGCTATTTTATCTTTAATCTCAAAACATTTTTTTCTCGTACAACAAATTGGGGGTAATCGGGGCTTTGAACCTCCGATCTAATGATAAATTATATCCGTGATGGATGTGTATCAATGACATAGTCTCTCACCGATAAATGTAAATAAATAATGTACGAGGGTAAAAGAGGAATCACATTAAAAAAATTTCTGCTACTATATTTACCAATATGACAATTCATCTCTCACCAATAAACATAAATGAATAATGTACGAGGGTAAAAAAGGAATCATATGAAATATTTTTATTTTACTATATTTATAAATATAACAATATGAATTACCACCGATTAAAAATTTCTCAAAATATACTAAATAAGTAGCCTTCTAAGAGAAGGCTCAACACGAATACAAGTATCCAGTTTTCTCATAAACTCCCAAATAATTTTTCATCTCCTTTTAGTTTAATGTTTTTAATCAACCAACATTTTATTTGAATATCTTTGTGATCAATTCTAGATTTAAATGTTTAATAAATTTTGTGACTATATTAAATGGTGTAGGGTTGGGAGTAGGCTCCCTATTTAAATTGGGTTAACATAATTTTTTAGATGAAGTAGACTTTTTGAATATTCATATGTTTGTGATCCACCATGTATATATAATTATTGTTTTAGCTACTATTTTTATAATATTTAATCTCAATTATATTATATTCCTAATTATTCTTTTAAGTTCATATATTATTTTGGTATCTATATTTCTGAAGTATCCATTTTGATGTCTGTATTTTTTAAAAGTGATCATCTTGGTCCTTCGATTTGATTCTTTATCTCATTTCTTTCCATAAAAATTTTATTATCACTTTACTCACTAATTTCTTGAAATGCAACTATAAATTTGAATTAAAAGATTTCCATTATGTATAAAGTTTATGTTTAATTTTGCAAATACAGATTAAAATAGTCATTGTTTGAAAATACAATGACTAAAATGAATCAAATTCAAAAGGACAGCAAACCTATTTTTTAGTATTCAATGGTTCTTACAAAGAGGTCTGTGTTGGTGGGGAACACTTCTTTGACCCTTTTCCCTATTTGAGTGAAATTATTGATATTAAATCATATCTGTCTTTGAATCACTTCAAGAATGGTTTTGGACCATAAAATATTTCTCAATTATTAAAAATTATAAATACAATTCTATAAATATCATATGCTTGAGTACCAATGTCATGTAAGCAAATGAATATGATTTTTTTTTAATGATCGAAGTGTTATTATTTTACTAGAAGTTATGTAATTAAAAAACAATGAAAATGAGATTTTTGCTTCGCATTGTTAATTCAAGTTATAAAACTAAGATTGAAATATTACGGTATAACACAAAAAACTTTCGTGCCAACCTAACATTGGCTCACTTGTTAAGGTATCTTGCTATGTTTCTAGAGATCGAAGATCCAATTTTTTATCCCTCTGCTAAAAGTGAAACATATATAATAATTTTCGTTTTAGATGTTAATTACAAAAATTTTGGGAAAAAAAACCCTTTTTGGTCCTTGAGTTTACACTTTATAAGTCACTTTGGTCCCTATGTTTTAAAAGCCATGCACATTTTGGTCTATGAATTTTTAGAAAATGTTTAAATGGTCTCTCAATGAACATATCCGAGTTGGAAAATATCATTCGTTGCGTCTATTCACCTCTCTCCGTGGCGCTATGCCTATCAATGTGGCGCAATTGAATAAAATATGAACATCATGAAACTTTGATGCATCCATGTGGAATGTAATATCACACTGATAACTCACGCGATCAATGAACATTTTTTGCTATCGTGTAGCAAAATCAGATAACTTAGCGGCACAATCACAAACTCTAACCTGTCATGGAAGATAAGATCGTGTTAGACTATATACGGTCTAAAGTTTATAAATGGCATCTGTAAATGCTCGCATGGAGGACCAACACAACCTTACGTTCTAAGATTTTATGATTGCATTACTAAATTATTTGATCATGCTGCACAATGACCAATAATATATAGTGATCAGTGCCGTGTTATATTCCACGTGAATGTATTGAGGTTTCATCGCATACTTATTTTATTCAATATTGCGCTACCCAATGACTTAACATCTAGTGCATGCGAGTAAATATCCACATGATGAATGATATTTTCCAACTCAAATATGTCATGCCGATCCAATCAGCTTTTTTTGTAAGATATCTAATAGAGGCGTTAGTTGAGGGACCATTTAAACCTAGTTCGAAAACTCAAGGACCAAAGCATCAAATTTCCACTTAAGAGAGCAAAGTTTCAAATTCCTCATTCCAACCTACTGGATCGATCCAGCCTCTCTAAGTATCATGTCCCGTAAGTTTATCCTAACAAATTTGAATATTTAGGGCCATGAAGGGTATAATTGAAAAATATAAAAGATAAAAGGACCAAATTGGAAAGAGGGAGAATAATGTAAAAATGGTTGGGTGGGGACAAGTGTTGAAGATTGTGAAATCTTATGAGACAAGACAATTGCTTGGGTGTTTGTCAGTGGGAGATATCCAATCCAAGTTCAGGTCTTGTTTTGGGTGATGGCATGTGCAAATGGTTGTGGTTTTTGCAGATAAGGCCCCATCATATTTCCCTCTTGCCCCCAATTATTGCTACATTTCCCAACTCATCTTCCATCCCACTTTCTATTTCTTTCTTTCTTTTCTCCCTTCTCTTTTTCATTTTACTTTTCTTTTTTCTTCATTTCAATCCATGTCCCATTAGAAAGGATTCGGTTCGAACCTCTAACGTTTAGGAGAATCTTATAGTGCATTGCATTAACTCGGTTGAATTATGTTTAGGATATTAAATTTTTGTCGACGTGTCGACAATTTCATATGTTTATGGGTTCAACATTGACATAAGGGGCTAATCGACATTTCCATAGTATTGGAACAAATTTGATAAAAAAACATCAACAAAATATCACTGATATCGACATGGTAAAATATTTATTTGTTAATTTACATATTTGTTATTTTTATAATTTTCTATAAATATCCATCAACATCAACATTTTATTAATATTTTTATTGACATTTCACAAAATTAATGTTAGATATCCATAAAAGAATTAACATGTATCTCCGACATTTTATTAATATTTTTATCGACATTTTATATATATATATATATATATATATAAGCTGATGAGTTGAATGGTCGTTTGTTCATCCTTGGTATCAGAGCGGGAGGTCGGGTTGAGTGGTGATTTTTTTCATCATTAATAATTGATCTATCCACATCATACTTTTTTTTTAGGGGTGGGATATCGAATTCACAGTCTCTTGGTTGGAGATACATGTCAATTATCGCTAAACGATGCTCACTTTGACCGACATCATACCTTTTAAACCTTTGGTTATGCTTGAATCAACATTGTGGCTCTTATTTAGTTGAACAAATTTTTCAATATATATATATTTATTTATTTATTAAAGTTTGAGTATTTTCATAGTTGGATTTGAACATTTTTGTGGCTAGATTTTTAGTATTCTCTTTTTTTTTAATTCAACTTTG